AATTAAATATGACTACACGTTTATTGATGATCATTACAATATTTGTGATTGGCAGTTAGGTAAATATCTCTTGATTGTGAAGTTATTTGTTCTGTCGTGTTCTAACTGAAGGCATAAATTTTCTGCATGATCATTTTAGTGTTCAAATGACAGAGGAGAGAGACGTTCTTGTTAGAATACCAATTAAGATTTAGTTAAGATAACTTAATTGTATTGGTTAGTCTAAAACGCATTCATGTATCTTATTCTTATAAAATTTCGAAACGTGTTGATTATCTGTTCTTTTCTAGGTGCCCATGTTGACAAGTCAGGATCAAAATTGGACAAATGGTTTAAATCTATGTTAACTAAAGTAAATTTGCTTTATGATCGTCACCCATATACACCGATTCCATACACAATACTTCGTAACCATCCTTTGATGCTGATGTCACAATGTAATCAAGAAAAATTAATGTCACATCCATTGTGTGTGGCATTACGCAAAGCGAAATTTCGACGATTTAGTACCTGGGTACTTGTCTTATTCTTTCTTAGCTATATTATGTTTATGGCTTTGTATACTGTTGTTGTTCTTCAAATGATTCATCCACAGTATTACTATGATCTCTATAATTCATCTGGAAATACTTTAGGTCAAAACATCGAGTGGGATTATGGATTCAACAGTGACGTCTGTCGACGAGTAGGAATTTATTTAATTGAATCAGGAAATACTAATGCACGGAAGACAACAAACCAGCAAAGATATATATTGACGCTCGATGTTTTATTAATTTTATTTGCGATTAAAAATGGACTTTTCATAATAGCTTCATGGCCACGTTTTATTCGTAAAACGGCATACTATGCAGAAGCACTTGCTCTAGTATTGGTATACGTGTGTATCAGAGACGGTGATTCATGGCAAAAATCCCTGAATTTTCGATGTCCAATTCAATGGGAGCTGGTAAGTAATGTATTAAGAATGTTTTAAAACGGTCATAGAATAGTTTTCTATGAGCAAACTCAGCAGCAATGATCTTTCAAATATAAAAATCGTTGTTAAAAAATATTGACATTATTATATGTATAATCAGTTGAAGCTTAGGAGAAACTACGATTCCAGTTTTATATTTTTGAATATCTATTTGATGAGATATTTTCGTATCTTTGACTTCGATACCATGTATTCTTTGTAGGGCTCAATTGGTCTTCTATTATCTTGGTTAGTATTGCTCTCATATATGCGTTATATTCCTTGGATGGATGTCGGTCTATATGTTGTCATGCTCGAAGTAATCTTTTTAAAGTTTCTTCGAGCAATACCTCTTTTAATGGTACTTTTCTGTGGTTTTGG